ATACTCCCTCCGTCCCAAAAAATAGTCCAGTTTGAAAATGTACAACTTTTTTAATTTGGTCAACACACCAAATGTACAACTCATTTTATGCCCCTAATTTCCACTAATGCCCCTTCTATTTATTTCTATAAAAGTTAACTACATATGCATTTATTTTACAACTTAAATTTGATCAAAATTTTTATCTCAAAAAATATTGACAATTGATCTTGATGGAAAGATCTCGTTACGTAGATTAATTTGATATATAACACATTTTTTAATTATTCATACATTAAAAGATATAATCATTTGAAAAAATGAGAGAAAACTAAAAAAATGAAAATCAAAGGAAGTGAATCTTGTTTTCCTTACCACTACTCTTTTGGATATTTAAGTCATTTTAATTAAATTAATTTTGACTTTTATGAAATGAGATTATTTTTTTGGGACAAGATTTTTTTTATTAAACTGAACTATTTTTGTGGGACGGAAAGAGTAATAAGTAAAATTTAAGATTTACCGGTTTACATAAAATTTTTACTGTTTAATGACCATCCAATGAGTTAATGACATGTGTCTCTGAAAATGTTGATGGCCATCTATCAAAAAAAAAGAAAAAAAAAATGTTGATGACCTGAATTATCTTTCTTTCCTTTAATCTATATAATGATACTTTCCAGCCATTTTAAACATTTTTGCTTGACATATGTTTCTATACATTTTCCGTGTGTAATAAACATAAATACATTACGTGATGGTAAGATAGTAAGCCATATAATGAACGTTATCTAATTTACTTTTACCATTCTTTAATTAATGAATTAACAATACTATATCTTTTAATTTTTTTTTTTTTAATCTTGCACTCTTTGTGCTTCTACCATTGATAAATTCATGTAGGAGTCAAATTAATTTCGCTTTTGTTCTTCCAATAACATATGAAAACTTGATCGATTGTATTTCTTTTTTTTCTAACTATTGTTATGTAAGAAACTCTATTAAATGGAATTAATTTAATCATGAAATCTGCTCACAAAAGTTACTGAAAGTGAGAGTAAATACATAGAATGAAATTTTGCAAGAAATAATCTGATACTGAATCTATTTTCACTTTTGAAAAAAGTATTTTAATTGTATGTAATCAAGATCTTTTGTTTTATTTTTATTTTTATTTTTTGGGGGCAGAAATATGAACATGTTTTCAATATGACGAACTACTAATTTTGACAGTAGAAAATCCCCGTAACATTTCACGTATCCTTACCGTAATACTATGCGTTTAACAGTTTACTCGCCGTAAAAATAAAAACTTCACTTTCCCTTTTTGTTTCCCAATTTTTCAAATATTCAGAAATTTTGGGGAAAAGAATTCAAATCGATTCTTCTTCACTCTCACTTTCTCACATCACTTCTTCACCGCTCCACCAACTTTTTTCGTTTCCTGCAATTTTACTTCTCCGATTTCGAAATTTCCTATCATCTTTTTTAGTTTAATCGACGATCCGTTAGAAGAGTATTCGAGATAAATCATGTTTGAGCCCCAGCATTTGATAGATTTGCAAGATAGCCACCAAGCTGGCGGCGCCGGCGGAGGCGGAGCCACCGACGCTAAGTCATGGCTCTCCGGCCATCATTCGGCTGCATCTCCGAATTCTCTTCACCGCACTCTTTCTTCCCTCAATAATGCTGCATCCGCCGGCAACCTAGACCCGGTCCTCTTCAACGACCTAGTCCAAATGGTGCCCCTTGTTGAATCTCTAATTGTAAGCCATTTCTCCCCACCTTTTTTTTTTTAAGATTTTTCATTCCGTAGCATAGTCGTATGTTGGCATGGTTTTTAATTTTAGTTTTTTGGGTTGTTGTCATCATTTAATGTTAAGCGCGGGTTGAACAGAATTTGAAAATTGTATTTGGAAATGTTTAGGATCGGAAGCCAAATTCTTCATTTACGCGAAGGGGATCAGTGATCTATACCAAGACGCCTTCGAGAGAATCACTTGCCAGAAAGGTATTATCCTCTTCTTCTTTTTTCTTTTTCATTTTTTTTTGTTTTTAAACGAGTTTTCTTTTATTTTCTGGTGTATATGATGTGTATTTAAACGTGCGAGTCGGACTATTGTGCCATATTCAGAATGAAGATCAATCACATTATTATTTTCTAAAGTTTTGGTTGTTTCTGTTGTAGTCATTCTAGTAAAATTTCAATGTTCTGTACCTTCAAATATGCTGTGTGTATTCATTTAGGTCAGGAGTGTTAATGAGAGTTCCCTTTGAAGAACAAAATCTTTGACTCTGTAATGTGGTTGGTATTTTGAGTACATTAAAGCATTGCAATTACTTTAATGGAGATTCTATTGACTCCAAATGCTGCTCACTTGAATGAGTGAATATAGTGAATTGGAGGTGGTGGGGAGGGAGAAAGTTGGAAACTTTTTTATCTCGTATGACAGAATCGGACTGGTTTAGAAGTTTAATATCATGATTTTGATTTGTTGGATATCAGAAATAATTAGTTCAAAGATAGGTTGAGGGAATTTCTGTCAAGTTACTTTTGATTTCCTTTCCTATTATTATTCCTCTAAGATAAGGATGTATCTAAGAGGGCCTTTTAACCACACAGAATGAGTAGCCATGTCTGAGACTTACTCTTTGAGGCTAGGTTAGTAGGCTCTGAATGGTAACTGTCTATCTTGATTTCCTGGAAAGTCTACTTACTCAGTTACTCCTCCCTTAGATTTTTTTTTATTTTTATAGGCAATGATGTGTTTGAACCAACTAAGAAATTTGTAGTGAATTCAGCTATTATGCTGTTGGTAATCTGAGTTTGTGGATAAGCTTAAGAAAGTTCTGAGGTTACACCCGAGACAATGATTCAATGATTTGTAATCTTTTGGTAGTGAATTTCTGAATTGGTTGATTCCCTCATTTCATCAGCCGACCATGATACTTTAAAAGTTAAAAATGCTTTACTTATGACTTATGAGTACGTGTTGCCTATTCAGTTGGTCTATGAGGTTCTGATGAATTAATATGCATATTATTAAATGCTTTGGTGATTTCTGTTTGGCACAGACAGCTGATGTGAAAACAAGGAATGGTGCTCATTCAAATCTGAAAAGGAACAAAGATCTTAGCAAAAGTTCAGGGATTGACCAGGATGGAACTGGTGAAAACATGTCTCTGCTTTCCTCACGGTCCTTGCCCACAGAAAAGGACATGGAAGAACTTTTGGCTCTGCGAGAACAAGTGGAAGATCTACGGAGAAAGTTGTCAGAAAAAGAAGAAATGCTTAAGTCCGGAGAGGCCTTAAAAGCTGAGATGGATATACTTCAGTCCAAACTAAATGAGATAAAGTTGGAGGCAGCAGAGAAGGATTCTTTATTGAAGACTACCCAACTACAGCTCTCAGATACAAAGGTTCTCAATTTCCTGTCTGCTTCTTTTTGTTTTAATGATTACTCAATGCATGAAATTTTGTCTCCATTGGGATAGATTAATTCCCATTTGATTTTGCTGTGGTTACACACTCTTCCAAAGCTTAATTTCGTTTGTTACTGTCCCTGGTTCCTGCTTGTTTTATGGAAGTGGTTGGAGACAAAAAACATAAATAGTAACAGTTTTCTTAGTATTTTTCTATTTTAGTGGGCTTTAAGGTTGGGGTGGGAGGAATTATGAGTGAGGGACTGCCTAGCTCTGAAATAAGTTATTCAAAACTGTAGTCAAGGATATCTTCAGTCATACTCGTTTGTCTTCTGAGTTATTTGATGAAACTATAGCAGGATTATTTGGACTGGTTGAGCTTACATGGTGTGCTAAAGGCAGCTTTTCTTGTAATTTGAACAGTGACTTGTTTAATGATGTTGAGAATACCAAAGTCATTATGTTTTCTGCATTACTATGCAGATTAAGTTAGCTGACAAACAGGCAGCAGTGGAAAAATTAGGATGGGAGGCAATGACATCCAATCAAAGAGTAGAAAAGCTCCAGAAAGATCTGGAAGTAGCAGAAGGAGAAATTTCAACATGTATGCTAGTATTTGAAGGTTTGACGAGGACCAGTTCTGCACCTGATGTTGTTGATTATAATGCACTGCCATATCTTCCCGATGACAATCCGGACCTGGTAAGCCTTTTATTCGATGTTTATATCCAGTGTGATTCTCTCCACAACATTAATTTCTTAATTTGTTCTTGTAAAGGATCCCTTTGATGAAGTAGATCTGCAAGAACTGGAGGCAGCAAGAGAAGCTTATGTCCTTGCTGTTGCCACTGCAAAAGAAAAACAAGATGAAGAGTCTATTGCAGCTGCTGCAAAGGCAAGGCTGCATCTGCAATCTATGGTTATACAACCAATGAGTTAATTTCTGCAAACTGCAAAGGAAGTTCAAATTGACTTTGAAGAACTTTTCACTGTTAGTTTCTGCTTCTATGCCTGCTTGGGTTGGGGTGTTAGAAAGTGTAGATTTGGCTTGGTGTTGATATTTAGGTTCACATGGTGTTTCTAAGTTTCAGTACTCCTGTATTTGTGTATTTTCAATTGAGGTCAGTGAATTCGCCGCAATCCTCGGTATCTGCCGAGGTTTCTACCTGAGCTGATTTTTCCCATGTGGGATTTTTCTGCTAGGAACTTACATCATGTACCTATCAGGGACCTGACTGCGGGAAATTCAGTTGTAACATCATGTGTTCATATATTGATTGAAGTCCATTTTTTTCTGAAGTCAATTGATACATCATATTCTTGGATCGGATTCGGAAATCCATATGTTACATCAAGTTCTAGTTGAATCAAAATCCAGAAGATTAAGCCCCTAAAATGGTCCATCAATGCAGGTATTACTCTACCAAGCCTTGAAAATGGTTTGACAGAACTACACAATTTCAAACTAAACATGGGAAAACCAGTTCACTATTTCTTATCTTCTCACTAAAGATTTAAATTGAGCTGATTACAGGGATGATCGTGAACATTGAACAAATTAAAGCACTCAGAATCTGCAGCAATGGAGACCCACACACCTAGCTCTCTGTGCCCTCAGTTCTCTGTCTTCTGGCTGCGGCATATGAACAGGACTTCCCATCCATTCCCACCTCAAACTGCTCATCAATACTGCTATAAACTAAGCACTTCAAAAATAAGCGAAAATCAAAGGAGTGAAGAATACATATTAGTAACTTACACTGGGAATGCAAAAGAACCGGAGCTAGCATCTGAACGATTAGAATCGCTCGATTCCGTGACAGATAAGATGGAAGATAACGTTTTGGCTTGATCACCATGATTTCCAGCGTGATCAATCTCTTTTATCTCATCAGGTGGCCATACTAGTTCTACATCATCGCTTCCTTCTTCCTCTACCTGCTTTTGTACAATGTATAATCACATTTTTAAGCACAGAAACATTTGACAAGAACAAAGGAATCCCAATAATCTTAGTACTACTAGTTAAAGCAATTGACTAACCGTAGTTGCATTGGAAACCTCTGATGTTCTTTTTTCTTTGCCCAAATGAATGCTTCCATCGTCTTTAAAGCAAAAAACAATGTATTCTTCTTCCTTAAAATGTGATCCGCTGCTTAATCTTGACAAGCCCTCTTCACTTTTCCTTGTAATTTTTTGAGAATTCTCAACAGACACCTTCTTCTGATTGCTTTTCTTTGTCCTTTGTTTTTGCTCATCCTTTTGCTTTCTTCTACGTTCTCCAATTGGATCAAACACCATGTTCTTTCTTGGCACTTCTGGATGACCAGTTGAAGTCGAGCAATTCTGTTCCTCATGATCTTGAAACAACAAACAAAAATATAGACAATGAGAGGAAAGAACATGGAAGACAAACTGGATTTCTGCTAAGTATTTTGATGGATTCTTATATATGTTCTTTCATTCAATTATCAATACCTACCTATTCGAGGAATTTCGCATGCAAAAAAACAGGCAGCCAAATCTCTCACACGCCATCTCGCAAGCTTTAAGATGGTATCAGAAGTCATTTTTCTCTGAAGTGTATTTTTCCTGTTGAAGAAGATGGTGATTGTTTGGTGTTAACTGTTAAGTATAAATGAGGAAAGAGAGCCAATAATTTCAGAATTTGAAAACGGTTTAAGAGGATCAATCAAAGGGATTTTTCACTACATTGATGCCAATTGTGTGTAATTATAATTAGTGAGTGAAATGAGGCAATTATGATTTTTGGAATGGGAGTGAAACATGCAAAATGCAATTACTTGGTAAGGAGTGGAAAAAATCAAGCCAAGTTCAAGACTAGGGAGGATATATTTTTGTCATCATCTTAAAACTAAATTATCATAAATTGAAATGGCCAAAAAAATTAAAAAAAATGATTAAAAACCAGTGAAATAAAAGAAACTGACCATATTTGGTTAAATACTTGAGTGAATTTTTTTTCTTTCACTTTTGTAATTTTCAATACATACTTTACATTTTCATCCCACATTTTCTATGCAAACTTTTTTTTTTACATTACAATTTCAAGTAAGAAAAAACACATAAAAAAGTATCCAACAAAAAAAGAGAGGGAACGTTTAAAACAAAGATAATTTGAAGGGAAAAATGGGGATAAGATTAGTGGTACGAATTAGAATTTGTGAAAATTTGAAGGGTTGTCCGAATCAAGAAAAATCCAACCCCCATTGTTATTTCCAATGAACCGAAGGGGCTAACTCGGTCAATGCAACGCAACTGACCGAACCAGTTCCCGCAGAAATTACCTAAGCCCAAAGAAATAAAAATTAAAAAGAAGACATTTCTCCGCAGAAGGATCAATGGCGGCGCCGGCGACCACCACAGATGGAGAGCAGAAGGTCTTAGCGACAGCTCAACAGATCGTTAAAAGCCTCCACTCCTCCACCAACGTCAGCGCCGATGACGTGATCCTTCTTTTCTCCTCAATCGACACTCGATTTGCCAACCTCTCTAACCTAATGCAAACCTCATCCTCTTCCAATCAAACATCAAGCCCTAACGCCGCCGCCGCCACCGCCGCCGCCGGTTTCTCTCCGTCGAATTCCTCTTCCCCTTCCGTTGTGGCTGGGTTGGGCGATGACGACTCGTTCAACTCCCCCTCTAACCTTAAAGGATTAAGTCAATTGGAGGAAGCGGAGAATCTGCTCCATCGTTGGGAATCCAATGGTGAGGACTCCGGCGGCATCGACGATTACCTTCAGGTTGTGGACCATATCTTACAGTTGACGGAGGATTTAAGTTTCGAGCAGCAGGGAGAAGAGGGCGGCGATGGGGATGTTGTTGTGGACCGAGCGGAGAATGCCCTGCAGATGGCTATGGCGAGGCTGGAGGATGAGTTCCGTCATGTCCTAATTCGTAATGTGGTACCTTTTAATATTGAGCGCATTGGGGGCTCCTTGATCCGCCGTTCATCCCTCTCCTCCGCCTCCTCGGCAGATGGCCTCATCCATCAGATACCGGATTTTGACTCAGCCAGCTTTGCCGATCCCGTTGAGGAAATCAGCGGCAGGTATCATCGACATGTAGCGGGGGCAAGTCTAGGGGGTGAAGATGTATTTATTGATTTGGTAAGTCCTGATGCTATAAATGATTTGAAAGGAATTGCTAGTCGAATGATTCGTGCAGGATATGAGAAAGAATGCTGCCAGGTCTACTCAAGTGTGCGCCGGGATGTTTTGGATGAATGTATGAACATTCTTGAGGTGGAAAAGCATAGTATTGAGGACGTTCACGGCATGAATTGGGAGTCCTTGAATCAGAAAATGAAGAATTGGATTCGTGCCCTGAAAATTGTGGTTAGAGTTTTACTACCTAGTGAAAAGCTTCTTTGTGAGGATATATTTTCTGGAGCTGATGTGATTGAAGATGTTTGTTTCATTGAGGCTACTAAAGGGTGTGTGATGCAGCTGTTGAATTTCGGCGAAGCAGTGGCCATTGGTATACGTTCTGCAGAGAAATTGTTTCGATTTCTTGATATGTACGATGCTCTGTCGGATGTTTTCCCCGATTTGCAGGAACTCTTTAATGATAAAGAAGCTGGTGATATGGTGTGCACTGAAGCTCAAGGTGTTCTAGATAATCTAGCAGAGGCTGCCATTGGGACGTGTTTGGAGTTTGAGAATGCAGTTAAGGGTGAGACATCCAGGAGGCCAATACAAAATGGTGACATTCACCCTTTGACTCGATATGTGATGAATTATGTATATTTTCTTGTCGATTATAGCAGTATATTTAACCGGTTGTTGGAGAACACGAGGGTGGCACTGGAGTCTGAGGATGCTAAGGGAAAAGATACTGATAATTTGGAGTCTGAAGACATAAGCCCAATAGCACAGCGCATACTGTCCATAATAAAGACTTTGGAAACCAATCTTGAAGAGAAGGCCAGATTGTACGAAGATGGTGGACTGCAATATGTGTTTCTGATGAATAATATACTTTACATAGTTCAGAAAGTAAAGGCCTCAGAACTTAAGAATCTTTTGGGTGATAACTGGATACGCAGAAGGCGGGGTCAGGTTAGGCAGTATGCAACAAGTTATCTTAGAGCTTCTTGGACCAAGGTGTTGTCTTTTTTGAAGGATGAAGGGATTGGCGGAAGCGGAAGTAATGCATCCAAAGTTGTTTTAAAAGAGAGATTTAAAAACTTCAATGCTTGTTTTGAAGAAATATACCGAATCCAGACAGCTTGGAAGGTCCCAGATTTGCAACTTCGGGATGAGCTTAAGATATCCATTTCAGAGAAGTTAATTCCAGCATATCGTTCCTTTCTTGGGAGGTTCGGCAGTCATTTAGAAAGCGGCAAACATGCTGGGAAATACATTAAGTACAGTGCTGAAGATTTGGAAGCTTACTTATCTGAGCCTGATCTATTTGAAGGAGTACCTAAAGTTCTGCACCACATGAGAAGGAAAAGCAGTTAGTGGCAGGAAGGAGGACGGTATGGCTCCTACCTTCATCAAACTAGTAGTGCATTTTCTTCTTATACTTAGTGATTTGCCCTTTATTTTGATAGTTTGGAGTCACCAGCTCTGTGAAATGTAGTCTCACATTGCCAAAGCTACTGTAATAATTTTGTATATGTACCATATGTTTGATGTTGTGAAACCAATTATCTTAACGGATTTACTGTGACATGTCAAAGAAAAAAAGATGCAACCGTTTTCCTTCGTTCTACATTTCCTACAAATTCTAGGTATTTGTGTGATACTCATAGATTTTACATTAATTTTGGAATCCTGCATTACCCTGATTAAAGGCAAAAATGGAAATGGATGATTCATGTGAGGAGCTTGATTGGTAAATCAGTTTCTGTTTTCAGTTCAACAAAATAAGACCATTTAAGAATTGAAGCAGCCACTCAAGCACGATTTCCTCTCTTCATCAACCTCCCTTAATTTCCATACCTTCCTAAGGATAAATATTTGTTATGCAAAATTTGCAATGTTATCTGCTGTTTACTTAGTTGTTCATCATTGACGGTGATTGGTGTTTGAGCTTATCGTAAACAAAAGTTGCATCTTGAGAAAAAGTTATGCCCTAAATTATCAACTATCAGTTTACTGGATGAGTTCTGCAGTATAAGAAAGGAAATGATATGTTGAAGCTTTTGCTTCCTTGGAAGAGCATCGGCCCTTTGTGATTGATGCTACAGTTACTCAAGGAATAAATGCTTGTGGAAATATCAAGAAGAGACAATCACCAAACATCAAGTTTTAATTTTTGAGCAGCTATGCCATGTAGGTTTTATTTAATATCTTTTTATTCCTGTAGTTGCGGCTATATATCTTTGCTACCATTGTGATTTCTAATGATGAAACCATCTGGAGTTACATATAAGAAAAGACTAGAGGAAGAATATTGGTTGAGCTTAACTGTGTCTTGCTCTCTTGAGATACTGACAGCTTTATTGGATTATCGGAGTGTGGTAGTTTATTTTATCCTTCGTCAGTAGATGAAAATATGAATAACCTTGGTACCGGAGCATTTGGCATTCTGAATCCCATTAGACTTCTTCATTTAGACATTCTTGTGAGATCCAAATTCATTTGCATTTAGATTTTAGGATGCTCAACTTTTCCAGCTGTTTTACCTATGAGATAGTTCTCATTATACGGATCTCTGACAATTGATGTTACCATCATGAATTCTCAGTTGGTAAAAGAAGAAAGAGACGGAGGGCATCTTTCATGGATGAGAAAGTTTGATTTGATTTGTTGATTGGTGCATGGGGATGGTTAGTGTCTAAAATGTGTTTATAGGTTACCTTCATGTTTATCTAATCCTGCACCTTTCTCTTTCTCTTGCTTCTTTCCTCACTTGTTTGTCTCGCTATTTCTTACCAGTTAGTAAATTCTAGGCCATTTATATTTGAGAACTCTTCGATCTCATGGACAGGTCTTCCATGCTTCAGCATTTTGAAATGCACTTGTGTAGTATAGATATGCATTGTCTGTGTTGGCTGGATCTAGTGCATTTTAGGAAATGTGATTTTTCCAATATTGCAAACAGTTGCACATTCAGAATGTGCATCATGTCTTCTGCTGGTTGCTTCTGGTTTTCTTCTACAGGTTCACTACAAAAGGCCACCCCCAGGCCCAAACCTGTGAGCTCCTACACAGAACCCGCAGATGAATGGAATATTCTCGCCGCTTTGACCAGGTTGTCTGCCAAATGCGATTTGGTGAGCAGAGCAAATCTTCTATCTTGCAAACACTGCAGCTTGTTCATAGGAACTTTGGCAATGGAAATCCTGGGTTAGCAGATCACCCTTACCGTTCAACTAGATACAAGAGAGGACTAGTTTTATTTGTTCCACCCACATCATGGTTGTCGACATCGTCATCAAGATCAGTTAGGCTACGGACTTGAGGAATTCTGTGGATACCTCGGACTAGGAATTTTACTGGTACAAAAACAGGCAGTTGCAATCTTTAACTCGGTGTTTCGTTAAAAGTTATGATGATGGTATCAGTAATTCAGTACTAATTCTTCGAACCCTTTTTTTCACGCGATTTCAAGTGGGATCAAATGAATTTTTATCTGCTTACTAGACATTTCAAAACATCTTAGCAAGCCAGGTTCCGAGCAAATTACATACGTGTTATAAATTTGGACAAAATCTAATAATTAGAACAAAAGTACTTGAAATTGGCATCCAAAATGAAAGAACAAAATTGCGAGGACACGTTTAAAAAATATGACTTTTATGTCCCAAAATTACGGTCCACTTTGAGTTTTCTTAAAAGTGAAAATCTAAACAGAACAATAATTATGGAACGGAGGGAGAATTTCTTTAGAAAGTGAGACCTGTCTCAAAACTTTGGTTTGGGTTTAAATTGAAAATGAAAAATTGCAAACGAAAATGGCTCGAGCACGTTTTCCCTCCAGCTTCGACTTCCCCAATTTATTTCCATCTTTTTTGGCTCAAGGCCAATATTTGCTTATTCGAAATTTCTCCATGAACCCGCCAACGAGCCACCGAGAAATCATTAAGCAGGCTCGAGCTCGACGCGTTTCATAAACAAATTGGCTCCAACTCTAACTTCGGTCAACTTTGAGCTCCAGCTAGCTTTTACTGAGCCGGCTCGTGTAGCTTCTGAGCGGCTCGGCTCATTTTCTCCATCAAAACCATCGGTTTGTCTTTTTTTGCATTAGAAAATGATTCTCAGCCCAAAGGCTATAAAAAGCCACACCGCTTCAAATCATAACATCTACCGCCACATTCTCACACTCGCAGTCTCTTTCTTCCATTACACGCTCAGACGCTCAGCTGTGGTAATCGGAAGGACTGAAACTCTTCGCCTGCGCACCCGATCGAGGTATCTCCTCCAGAATTCATCGATCGTTAGTCTCTTCGATTTACATTTCTCCGTTTGCCTTTACATTTGAATAATTTGAGCTTCGCGATTTATCTGTACGGTGTTATCTTCCTTTGTTTCGAGTGATTTTGACCTAAATGAGTCAATCTAACTAGTCTGATTGTCAATTTGCTGATATTGTTTCATTTTCTCCGTAACCGGAGATATTTGAGGCTAATTCTTTCAAAATTGGTGAATTATCTTGACTCGCAGCCACTATTTGAAGGCTTGAGAAACATAATCCCTAGCAGATCTTGTAACTTTTGCAATAATAATGTGTGGCTGCTGCTTTCTACCTTGAAAAGAGTTAGATTACTGTATTTTAGGCTTCCATTTTATTTAACGCCCGTTAATGTACCTTGTTTATTCTCGGTTTGTGGAATTCTAAAGAAATTAATATACTCCTATATTGTCTCTAAAAATATTCGTTTTGCCTCATTGAGAGCATGAGAAATATCGTTCATATGCTGAAGAGTCCTTGTTTTTGCTGTCAGATTATGTAATTTTATTTTGTTCTTCTCAACTTCTCCATGTTTAAGGTAGGAAATATAGTTTGCTTCATGTTTACTGTTTGCCTGGGTTACTTAAACCATGAGTTCAGCTTTTGAAGTTTTGGGAATTGTAAGAATTTTGTTTTCAAGATTCTTCCTCCTCACGGACACAATCTGATGAAATTTTTTAAGCTTGCAGAATTATTGTACGAGGACTAATTTGCATGTACATACTATGGCGGAATCACAGAAACAAACTTCATCTGGCCAGCCAAAGAAGAAAAATTCAATACTAGGTAATTTCTTTCCCTCATTGCCCTACTGAGATGTCAATCTCTCAATACTCTAGGGGATAGACATAATTTTTTGCTTCTTGCAGATTTGGAATTTGGGATCGATGGCTTTCTAAGTTCCTGGAAGAAAGTGTCCATACAGGAGATGAGACATATTCGGACGCTGGCTCTATTTCAAAAGGAAAGGAACATGCATTCAACTTTGACAAAATGTGAGCTCTGAATCATTATTCCAGGAGATTTTATCTTTCTCTGTGCCCTTTTGATTTACAAGTATCTAAAATGTGCAGTTCTGGCGCCTAGTATACTCTGTGATGGAAAATTTTTGAATGCTGTTTGCATGCTCTTTGAGTGACCAATGGCCTTCCATGTGCTGGAATGTTGTCTGTGCTCGCTTGCCTCTAGTGATTCACAATTTTATGTTATGAGAAATGAACTGTTGATGCATTTTAACAGTATTTTCCCTTGCTACTATTCAGGGATATTGACTTTAACCTCCCCGGTGTTTTACGTAAAATTCCTTCATTCAATTCGGATATCCCCGATATTGATATCTTTTCTCGAGTTGTAAAAGATGGTGAGGAAAGATCTAAGGAATCTACTTCTGGAACTACTCATGAGACAGCCAATGGCTCTGATTTTACATATAATTTCAATGAGTAAGTGTCAGTTGACTTTCTGGGTTTCCGTAATGTTCTTTTCCAGCATAAAATTGCTTGCATGTATGGCTCTGAAAGCTTTTTTCATTCTGTGACTAATGTCAAGTCCGTTTCTTGGTTTCAGCTTGGATGTTTTCAATTTCAAAGATACCTCAAAGAAGGAAGGTATAATAGGTAAAGGAGATGAAACTAAGGAAGAATATTTGAACAAATTGTTAGCCCAGGAGTCCAAGGACTGCCTAGTGGAAGATGGTGATGGACATCAGCATGAATCATGTAATTTACAAGTATGTGGGACTGTGATAAGTTCTGATGTTGATATGCAAGCAGACACAGGTAGCCGTCCTGACTTGTCAACTGCAGATTCACCTCATAGACCAGTGAAAGGACATGAGGGCCATCTGAGGTCCGAAGCTGGAACAAATGAAAGAGCAACATATGAAGCACTGACTGAGAAGAGGGGATCAAGTAAGTGTCAAGAATTAGAGTGCCAACTAGACAAATCAATGTCTCCAGAATCTCTTCCACAGGAAGTCCCTGTTGCAAATGAAAGTGTAGTGAACAAATCAGTTCACTCTGTACTGAGAAATGAATTGTGTCGAGACACTGTTCCTGAGGGATTGGAGCAAGTTGGTACTAAGGATCCAGAAGCATTCACTCTGGAACGTAGTGCTAAGACACTCATTGCTGATTCAGGCTCTAACTCTGAAATTCCTGCTTGGAGTGGTTCTTTTGTCCACACAACTACTATCACAGAGGAAAAGGAAACAGGGCCTCAAGGTCAGAGTGATATGGAAGCTTTAGTGGCCATTAAAGAGGTGCACGAGCTTGCTCAGAGTCGAAGAAAGGACGAAAAATTCTTGTCTGATAATTGCTCAGCAAAATTGGATCCTCAAAAGCAAGATAATGTGAAGAATCTGGATGTGATGGAGCTTTCAAGCACTTTGAACTGGTTAGCTATTTACCGCCTTTTATTGATTTCAGCAGGAAAGAGCTAAAAAGCCATGAGCTAAACCGCATATTTTGCAGTAATAATGTGTGGCTACTGCTTGCTACCTTGAAAAGAGTAAGATTATTGTATTGAGGCTTACATTTATTGAACGCTCGTTGATCTGCCTTGTTTATTCTCGATTTGTGGAATTCTAAAGAAATTAATATAGATTGTCTCTAAATCTTGGTGAGAAATTGGTTTGCTGTCAAAGTATGTTATTGCAGTTCGTTCTTTTGAACTTCTCCATGTTTAAGGTAGGAAATATATTTGCTTCATGTTTACGGTTTCCCTTGGGTTGCTTGAACCATGAGTTCTGCTTTTAAAGTTTTTGGAATTGTAAGCATTTTGTTTTCATAAAGTTTCCTCTTTCACCTGGACATTATTAATAGCATACTAATTTTTTATGCTTGTAGAATTATTGTACAAAAGACTATTTTGCATGCACATATGGCGGAATCACAGAACGAAACTTCATCTGGCCAGCCAAGGAAGAAAAATTCATTACCAGGTAATTTTATTCGCTCATGCAAAATATTAAAAATATTCAGAATCGAATGCCTGGTTCACACTCCTTGTTAGAGGTCCAGGGGATAGACATGATTTTTTGCTTCTTGCAGATTTGGAATTTGGGATCGATGACTTTCTAAGTTCCTGGAAGAAAGTGTCCATAACAGGAGATGAGACATATTTGGTGGACGCTGGCTCTATTTCAAAAGGAAAGGAACATGAATTCAACTTTGACAAAATGTGAGCTCTGAATATTATTCCAGGAGTTTTTGTCTTTCTCTTTGCCCTTTTGATTTACAAGCAGATAAAATGTGCAGTTCTGGCGCATAGTATACTCCGTGATGGAAAATTTTTGAATGCTGTTTGCATGCTCTTTGAGTGAACAATGACCTTTGATGTGCTGGAAAGTTGTCTGTGCTTGCTTGCCTCTAGTGATTCACAATTTTAGGAAATAAGAAATGAACAGTTGATGTATTTTGACAGTATTTTCCCTTGCTACTATTTCAGGGATACTTTAACCTTCATGGTGTTTTACGTAAAATTCCTTCATTCAACTCGGAGATCCCCGATATTGATATCTTTTCTCGAGTTGTAAAAGATGGTGAGGAAAGATCCAAGGAATCTTCTTCTGGAACTACTCAGGAGAAAGCCAATGGCTTTGATTTGACATTTAATCTTAATGAGTAAGTGCCAGTTGGCTTTCCAGGTTTCCGTAATGTTCTTTTCCAGCATAAGATTTTGCTTGCATATGGCTCTGAAAGCTGTTTTCATTTTGTGACTAATGTCAAGTCCGTTTCTTGGTTTCAGCTTGGATGTTTTCAATTTCAAAGCTATCTCAAAGAAAGAATGTCTAATAGGTAAAGGAGGTGAAGCTAAGGAAGAAGATCATTTGAAACAATTGTTTGCCCAGGAGTCCAGGGACTGCCTAGTGGAAGATGGTAGTGGACATTAGCGTGAATCGAGTAATCTTCAAGTATGTGGGACCGTGATAAGTTCAGGTGTTGACATGCAAGGGGACACAGGTAGCAATCCTGACTTGTCAACTCCAGATTCACCTTATAGAGTAGTGAAAGGACATGGGAGCCATCTGGAGTCTGAAGCCGCAATAAATGAAGGAGCAATAGATGAAGCACTAACTGACAAGAGGGGATCAGGCAAATGTCAAGAATTAGAATGCCAACTAGACAAATCTGATAATGGCTCACCAGAATTGGTTCTTCAGAAGCAAGAGAATGTGAAGAATCCAGATCTATTGGAGCTTTCAAGTACTTTGAACCGGTCAGCTTTTTAATGCCTTTTGTTGATGTCAATAGGAAAGAGCTAAAAAGCCATGAGCAAAACCACATATTTGGCTTTGAATGTTTTGGACAATCAGCCTCTGTTATTCGTTAACAAGGTATTCTTGTTTCTATGTTTTTGGTTATAGTAATCAAGTGGAGGTGGGCTCTGTTTGCGAGACAGATGGCTTTGACTTAGCGTGCAAACTTGAGGAATTTAATGTTAGTTTTTTTTTTTTCTTTTTCTTCTAAAATTGCAAACTTAATTCTCTCATTTTTTATTCTTTATTTTCATTTGCTCATTTATGTTTTATTCTTTATGTGGGGGTGTTTTAGTCTGCTCATATGCCAAAGACCGAATCAGGATCAACAACGTTAGCTTTTATATTCTCAACTGGTATAATGGTTGCTGCTGATACCCTGGTTTCAGGCAAAAAAGGTAATGGTTTTGCTTTCAGTAATACACTGAATATAAGTATATTTAACATGCTCTCTAAAGTAACAAAATTTACTTTGTTTCAGGACCATCTAAGAGTAAAAGGGTTGATAAAATTGGTCATCTTGACACATACATGCTTGCTACAATAGTTGGATCTGAGATACATAGAAGACATACGATTGATTTATTGAAGGAGGTAGAATGTCTGGAAATCCTTACTCAAAAAAGTTGTTGCTTTTAGTAAAATAATGTACTTAGTTTATTCATTTGATGCTTATGTGGCAGGTAGAAGAAGCTAAGAAGAAGCATTTAGTAACTCCTGAATGGGCAGCAAAGCGGCTTTCACATTATCTTTCTTCAACAAAATCAGACACAGTGAAGCAGCTATCGGCAAGATTCATGGTGCTAGGGTACGATACAACTACAGATCAAAAGGTTAGTTTTTATTATTTGCTTTGAATTATAGATAGAATATATTTGGGAAAATTTTGATTATGATCTATATTTATTATGAAATGCGTTAGCATTTTTTTATTCTTTATCATGAATGTAAGTTACCTTTTACATCTTTTAGTGTTTTAAATGACTGGTTTAGCTTTTTTAGCCAATAGTTACTCTTTACTTGACGCAGCACCAGACGTGGTGGTTAAGAAAATAAGGATGTAGGCTGATTACAGAGTATTATGCAGCGGGAAAATTAAAGAATCTGTCTAGTAACAAGCTTAGAAATTGCAACAAAACAGAGATAAGCCGTAGGAAAAGAGAAGAAAACCCAAAAATCATTCTTAGGGCCCTTTGGCATCACACCACAGGATTCCTAGGCATCACATCAAGAGTTTAGTTCCATCAAACAACTGATGTTGAAAGCAAAAGTTCGCAGGAATTTTTATTAATCTGAAAAACTGTCTAAAACCTCGAAAGAGGTACATATATATAGGCCTAAACCAACAGCGTATAGGAAATTAAATCTTAGCTTCCTAAAACTAAATCTTTTGATTACCTAGAACTTAATCTATGAGGAAATTAAACTAAATACCAAAAATAGGAAACCAATACTCTAGAGAAATCCTGCAACATAGCAAAACTACTGAAATACCTTTATTCTAGAATAATAAAATAGCTAAATACTTTCGTGCATATTTTAATTACTATTGATTAATCTAACCAAAGGTCTAAACATTTGGTTTCCTCCTGGGATCCTCATGATCCTTGGCATAAGTATAGAATATCCTAGAGATAGAGTTCCTACGCCCTTCTTTGTCCGCATTATTCTCCTCTGGTTCGAAAAAACTCATCCACGAGTTCTAAAAATGTCTGAGAATGAAGAACTCAACAGTCTGAAACATAAACCATGACACTGCATCATATTCACCACGAGAAAACTTCCTTCGCCCAAATGTAGGTATAAGAGTAGACATTTGGAATCTGCTCGCTGGTTTGTGGCCATCCTCTCCAAAAGTAAACTTTTGGAATTCTAGGATATAAACTTATGTATGTGGAGAAATTAGAACAAGACATGAGACAACTATAAATCTCAAAAGACTGTATAAACTATTCTTTTGGGACACATGGAGTACTTAATTAGATTTCAAACACAAAATAAATATGCAAAAATTTAGCTTTCCTGAAGCCTATTGCACCCCCATTTTAATCTTCTAGTGTCACGACCCAATTGACTGGTTTTTTTTTTTTATTAGATCCCTCAGATATATGTGATCGACCAAACAGGGGTGATCTGGCAAACAAACTGTTTTGCCACTGGATCTGGCTCAGTTTCAGCACTTCAGGTTCTGTTTCCGGAGTGGAGGTTCAACATGGATATCTGCGACGCTGTTGATTTGACCATGAGGGGGATTTGCAGTGCTTCAATTTGGGATAGAAGTACTGGGGCACACTTGTCTGGTAAGTCGATTTTGATTGGTCTATTGACAAATTTATTCTGCTGCTGTTGTTCCCCCTATTGTTTTTGTTTTGTTCTCCATATCAGCCCAACCATTGTACTTAGATGTTTACTTTATGTTTTTTTTTTTCTTTTTCTTTTTTTTTCTTTTTTTTTTGGTTGCTGCAAGTTAGATTTTGTCAAATCTCCCTAGATCTGTTAATTTAATTTTGTTGTTTTGAATGTTGAAAGTTGGATGCTCCAACTTGAGAGGGCTGTTGAGGGGTAATTTATGTGGAATTCTAGAATAGTCTTGGAGTTTGGTGTTTCTATATATATATATGGAAGGGATGTGGACAATTGACTCCCCGAGTTATGTTCCAAAGATAATTACCCCCTCGACGTTTTCTATAAGGACAAAAACTCCCTTTGACCACTAGTCAACCGACAAAACACCCCCTCTGCACCATTTTCAGTGAAAATTGTCAATGATGTAACCAAATTAAAGTGTGTAAAGTCAACAATACCCCTAACAATTACCATAAATAAAATATCTTAATATCCAAAAAAATAATTAAACTTACACTATTTTTTTTAAAATCCGTTCACTTTCTTTTTCCTTCCACTTTCAGTATCTTCACATGATTGAATTCTTATATTAAGAAAAATTTCTTCTTTTCTTTTTTTGAAGGCTATCTTGGATTGCAAGATTGAGTTTCTTCGTAATATATATATATATATAAATAAATATATATATATATATTTATCCCTCCTCATAATTAAATGGGTGTATATATATATATATACACCTATTTAATTATGAGGTGGGATAAATATTATATGTGTATCTTGTTTTATATATGGTGAGGGAGGTAGTAGAAGTTCCATGAAGATATGATTAGGCCTATTAGTTTTTTTAATTTTATCTTCGTTTTTTTTTCCATGCTGAAAAGAAAGTTGGAATCATCAGGGTTTTTTCGTCTTTTTACGTCTTTGGTCGATTGACTTTGAGTTTAAAGGCGGTCGGGGGACTCCAGGGGATATTAGTCTTCAGGGACATAATTCGGGGATTAGTCTGTGTAGTCTTTCTTTTACATTCAACACATATGATTTGTTATCTGATAACTTCTCTGTTTTCAGTTAGCATGGTCAGCAGCAAAGGACATTGATGAGCTTATCGACCGTAATTACCCATTTTTGAGGTGGGTGTTTGATGCATTAAAGAAAAAATTTGTGATGTTGGCAGCTGAGCTAAATTCTATGGAGTGGATAAAGACATCGCCTGCTGCCGAGACACTCCCCAGGGGAGTTGCTGCCTGCTGCCGAGACACTCCCCAAGAGTGAGATGCTGCCTGCTGCCGAGATACTCCCCAGGGATGAGATTCTTGGGGGATTTATCTTTTTGACAAGCGAAAAATTCATGGAGAAAGATCTAAAGGGCCAATTGTTTGGTCTACCACGTAGATACAGAGACTTTGTGGGGGCCATTACCCTAAACTTACCTCTGTTTCTCTACAATCTCACCACTCGTCAGTTGCATGGTATATTTGAGGCATCAAGTGTTGGGGGTTACAACATTGATCCTACAGCTTGGGAAGATCAGAAATGTGGAGGCAAGTCCAAACTCCCAGCACAGGTGAAATTCCGCAAGGTGAAACACTGTAAACCACTGGAGGAACATGTTTCTAAGCCAGTCTTGCATTATTTTAGTGATCGGAAGTTTCGTCTTGGGTTATCTGTTCGCGAGACCTCAAAATTGCTGGAGCTTTTCAAGCAAGCTGGCGTTGAAGAACAACCTTAAACCTGTCTGCATATATCGAATGCTACTAGGGTATGCTAGTTCTAAACGCGTTTCACGATTTTCCAAATGAATTTTAATGTGTACTCTCCTGCCTCAAGATCATCTGTAAACGAGTTCAGGAGACATCGATATGCGTTACCTTAATGAGAATTTGTACCTTTTGTTATAATTTTACTTAGCACAACAATTACCGTTTTAATTTGGCCTCATTTGATTTGAATCCTTGTAGACTCATGACTTAACTCTTACCAATCCTCGCGCATCATTATAGTATGTACATGGCATGTAGTTCGATGTAATTTGACCATTCTCCATCACAATCGTGCACACTTTGATCTCTCTCTAAAAATTTCACTAATATAATCATTTGTTGCCATTGATCACTTAATAGTTAATGGTACAATCTATCTTCTATATCTATCTACTAGTTTATCTCTGCCCATACTAGGCGTGGCCGGATCATCCACATATACATTTCAAATTATAATCCAAGTAGAACTGGAAAAATTTATGAAAAATCAAACTTTACACATGTACAAAAAGTAAGACAAGTAGATGTTAAATTTACTGGATCACAGTCAAACTCTAGTACTGTATCTTCAAGTATGTGGAGAGATAAGGATGTGCGGAGTGATAAGGATGGACATACTTGACTAGCATACAAAAGATGTTAATAGTTTGGTATCCCGTCAGTCAAGTTGTAATCTTGTCTTGTACTTTTGGTGTTTAACTTTTACAGTATTACTAGTCACATTAGTCATCTTCTACGGTTATGATCATCGACAGCAACAACTTGATCAAGACCTTAGCAATCAGATCATTCTGAGAAGATGGAAGCCGCGGTTATCTTCATCAACAAAAACCCTAGTCCGCGGCTGATAATGATCAAGGTTCTAGTTCGATGCTGATCATGATCGGGACTCTAGTTCTTAGTCAATACAATTTGTATAAATATGTGGTGACAGTATACTGTATTTTTTAAGAAAGAAGTTTAATATCAAAGAGGTGTTTTCCAGCCATAATTCTTGCTCACGGTTTTTTCTTTATTAATCTAGACGAGTTCTAATTCCAATTTTCGCTGTAAACAAATGTAATCCAAGAAAAAATAATGCACGATGTAGCATTTTAAAGCATATGATCAAGTATAAAAATTATACTGATGTGGACAAGGATTAACTGATTGATTCCATAAACCTATAGTTTATCAAGGAATTCAAATCTATAAAATACAGAGCATATACTTCACAATTCAAGTAGTGAAGGGAGCTATGAAACTTGCAGTATCGTCAACGCATGAAATCAGTGTTATCAAGCTCGGACCGGAGCTCAACTCGGCATGGTGGCGGGTCGAGCGACTCGGGGGGTCGACTCAGGGTGAATCGGGGAGTCGACTCGGATGATGTCATAATGACATAATAAATAATTATATTTTAATTAAAATTATATATTTATCAAAGTCAAATTAGTATTTTATTGGATAAAATTAAACTTAGAAGGTCGATTAAGATGATGTAATTATTACTAAATAAACAATATTTAGTTATTTAGTACTTTTAAAATAAAAAAATTAAATTTTATAATTCTCTTCTATTGTAATAATTAATATTTATATTTTTGTATTAGTTAATATAATTTTTATAAAGTAATAAGTATGTTAATAAGTTTATTAAGATAAACAAATTATTACCAAAAAAATAGAATTTGCAAGATAATGAACTTTAAACATTAAGAATTAAATCAATTTTGATATATTAAAGTTAAAGTTCAAATTAGGACGTAGAAAGTTTGTTTGTGCGAAAAAATAAAAAAATAAAAAAATAGTGTTTTAAGTAGTTAAATTTAAAAATTGGGGACTAAGAAATCAAATCAATATTTTAAACAAAACAAATACTGAAAGTTAAGGGCTAACTGTGAACAAAAAACAAAAAAATTGGCCTTGGAATAAGAAAAATTCTGGACAAAAACTTAAAATCTTCAAAACTCGGTCCGATCCGAGTTTACCCAATTTTCGGTTCGATTGGATTTTTTACCGGTTTTGACCGATTCTGAAACAAACGATTTTCTGACCTGCTCGGCTCGGCTTGAGGTCCGGTTTCCAGTTAAATCGGTTCAACCGGACAGCCCGAGCCGAGCATGACAACTGCATGAAATAATGAAAAATACATACTCCCATTGCGGGCTCAGATCACCTGTTCCAGAAAAAACCCTTGTTCAGTCCCGGACGGGACAAAAGTAGGTAATTTTAATTAAAAAGTTACCTTCTCTTCTCTAAATAAACAATGTTACCTTTTCAGTTCTTAAATTATCATCTTATCGGCACAAGTCAAGCCGCGACTTCTTTTCTTCATTGCTCCACACTTAATTTTCTAATCCTCTTGTTTGCGAAATTGAGCTTCACTTTCGGCGGATCTTTTACTTCAGAAAACCATAAAACCTCGAGCAAAAGACTTAATTAAATAGTCATTGTTGATTCAGATACATTGATACTAATATAATTACTAAATCTCAAAGATGTATCTTCTGTATTTCAACTTCTAAATTGTTAAAAAAATTTTAAAAAATAAAGAAATGAATAAGAAAAATTCAAGTTAAAGTAAATATGAAAATTAACAGTTCACCATTTTAAACAATAAAGAAAAACAGATCCTAAAGGTTCAGCTAAGACAAGTCGTGTAGTTAGTTATGAAATATAAATTTTATTTATTTCATTTTAAAATAATTATTTTGTTCATTGTAATTATTATTGTTAATTTTCAATGGCAAAAAATATAAGTAATTATTGAATTTCTTGATAAAGACAAATACTTGAACTCTTTAATAGCGTAATTTTTTATAACTTGGAATTTGCAATATGAAAGGTAAATTAATTCTTAAAATTTAGTAATTATATTAATATCAACATATATAAGCTAAGAGATATAAGAAGAATTGTTAAAAAATATATTTAAAATTATTTTTTTATAAATAATGCCAAATAATGAAATTACCCTGGACCCAACTCACATGTTTTGGATGTAAAAAAGAGTTTTTGGTTATGATTTAACAATCAAAAGTAAATGATCTCAGATGGATTTTTGGCTTACTAAAGGGTCTTGTTTTGTAAATAAGTTTGATTGATGACATGTAATGAAATTACCCAATAGTTTGATGACCTGTTTTGTGGTTCTCTCTAACGAGGTTTAGCCTTTGAGGAGATAAACCCAACAAATCATCTATTGACTCAAAGTCCCACCACAACAAAATCTTATGAGAACAAGAATTGTATCTCTGCCTTGAACTTGAGCTCTTCCTCTAAATGTCAAGCGAACCACAAAACTTTTATCTCGAACCAACAACTATTTAACACTAAACCACATGATTCAATAATCTTGAACTGCTGCTCTCTACTAATGAAATATGCTATTTGGCAACCTCAAATAAGAAGACTTTCAACACAAGGAACAACAAGCGGATCAAATGGTTCGACTCAAAACAACTCCACAGTCGCAGCACTTCTCTCATCCCAAGTAAACCATATGATTTAATCATCTTGTATCACCGCTCTCAACTAACGGGGCATGCCGCCTGACAACCTTATTCAGTAAGACTTTCGACACAATGCTTCAGCTTGAAACACAACACTAACAACACTAGCGGTCTGCACTCTCCACTACCACGACCTTCTTAACACAGTCAAATCATACTTCTCCATCAAGATTATCCTTTACAAGTATATCTTGGAAATCCACACTTCAACACATCATGAAATTTTCATCTCTCACAAGAATGGGAGGCACACACTAATCTCACATCTTTTTCAACACTCCTTTGACCACTATCACACTTCACAACACCAAAATAGCCACATAGGTGTTTAATTTGGCCAAACCGATGCCAAAAACAAACTCAACACGTCGAAATTTTAATTTTGCCAAACCGATGCCAAAAACAAACTCAACACGTCGAAATTAGGGAGAAAGGGTCAATTTTAAAACATTTATGATGTGGCGGTCAACATTTTGACTTTGATCGGTCAACTTAATCACTGATAACGTGGCACACACTCAACAACACGGCTCCACCTTAGCTCGACACGTGGCATCACAAGGCACTGCCATGTAGCACTCATAAAACACCGAGTCCGGCTCATCTAAACGTGACATGTGGTGCTCTTAGGATCAGACACGTGGCAGTCCATCCACTGCCACGTGGTGCACGTTAGAAACCCAGGCATCCATTTTCCTCACATAAGTCGACGGTCCAGAACGCTCTAATTTCGAACCGTGTTATCTCAACAACCAACGGTCGTAACCATCTCAAACTTCATCAACATCACAAATGACACACACAGTGGAAAATCAACAAGCAACAAACACACAATTTAACGTG